CATGGTGGTGCCGGCGGCGCTGAAAATCATCCGCCTCAAACCCACCCGCAAGGTGAGCACGGCTTTTGGGGGAAATTGTGGGAATTTGGAGAGCTTAGGTGGTTTTGGGAATTTGGGGGATTTTAGGGATTTTTATGGAGTTTTTTTGGGGACTTCATGAGGTTTGGGGGGATTTTATGAGGTTTTATTTTGGGAGTTTCTGGGGTTTTATTGTGGAATTTTGGGGAGATTTTAGGGGGTTCAGGGGATTTTATTAGGGTTTTTTTGGGAAATTTAGAGATTTTTTAATGAGGTTTTTTTAGGGAGTTTCTGGGGTTTTAAGGGAATTTATAAGATTTTAACAGATCGATGGGATTTTAGAGCATTTCAGGGAGATTTTGAGGGGGTTTATGGGATTTTAGAAGGCATATATGATTTTGTTGGGATTATATATTTTAAAGAGATTTTATGAGATTTTTTTGGGGGGTTTTATGGGATTTTAGGGGATTTAGGTCACTTTAAGACTTTATGTTTTTTTGCTGGGGGTTCCAGCATTCAGGTGGGGCATAAGGCAGATTTGGGTGAATTCTCTGGTGTTTTGGGGTTTTTTGGGTGTGGGATTTTGGGGATTTTTTGGTGTGGGATTTTGGGGTGTTTTGGGGCGTTTTGGGGTGTTTTCTGAGCTCCCATTTGTCCCAGTTTGCCGTGCTGGGCCGCCTGGCACACGAGGTGGGCTGGAAGTACCGGGACGTCACCGAGGCCCTGGAGGAGAAGAGGAAGGAGAAGGCCAAGATCCGCTACAACAAGAAGAGGAAGATGATGGTGAGAAAAACAGGGGGAATCACCCCAAAATCGGGGAAAAAACACCCCAAAATTGGGGGAAAAACTACCCCAAAATCGGGGAAAAATCACCCCAAAAATGGGGGAAAACCACCCCAAAATTGGGGGGAAAACCACCCCAAAACTGGGGGAAAAACTACTCCAAAATCGGGAGAAAAACCCATAATTTGGGCGTGGGACTTTAAAAACTCACAGGGAGGAAAAAGAGGGTGGGAAAGGCCTAAATCCAGGGAAAAACCCCAAGTTGGGGACCTCTCAATGCCTGATTATCCCTTTTTTCTCTGATTTTTTTTCCCCTTTTTCCCATTTTCCCTGATTTTTTTCCCACTTTTTTTCCCTGTTTTTTTTTACATTTTCCCCTTTTTTCCCCTCTCATTCTTCCATGGTTTTTTTTCCTTTTTTTCTCTCATTTTTTCTTGATTTTTCCCCTTTTTTCCACATCTTTTCCCTTTTTCCCTGATACTCCTTTTTTCCCCCTTTTTTTTCCACATTATTTTCCTGAGTTTTGCCCCATTTTTCCCCTGGTTTTTCCCCCATTTTTTTCTGGGTTTCCCCCCATTTTTATCTGGTTTTTCCTTCATTTTTCCTCTGGTTTTGCCCTGGTTTTTCCACGGTTTTCCCCCCATCTTTTCCTGGTTTTCCCCCCATGTTTTTTCCTGGTTTTTTTTCCCCATATTTTCTCCTTTTTCCCAATTCTCCGTTTTTTTCCCCCATTGCAGAGCCTGCGGCGCCGGGCCGAGCGCAGCGCGGAGAAGAAAGCGGCGCCGTTCACGGCAG